TGTCAATTCTCCTGCCAACTTCTCCAGTACTTACTTCACTTTTGTTTAGTGTTCTTCATTCAGATTAGCAGTAAGATCAAGGCAGAGATGTGTATGATTGAGATTCAGGAGAGAGTTTTTTAAATCGGCTATTTCCCCCCAACAAATCACCGAACCCTTTTGGGGGGGCAGGGGGTTTGAGAAAGACCCTGAGAATCCACTGCCAATGAGTGGACAATACTGAGCTAGATGGACCTGTTATCTTAATCAGTGTCAGGCAGGTTCAGATGCTTCATGGAGGAGGAGGAGGAGGAGGAGGAGGAGGAGATTGGATTTATACCCCACCCTTCACTGCCTGAAGGAGTCTCAGAGCAGTTTACAATCTCCTTTCCCTTCCTCTCCCCACAAGAGACACCCTGTGAGGTAGGTGGGGCTAAGAGTGTTCTCAAGAACTATTCTTTCAAGGACAGCTCTGACAGAACTATGGCTTGCCCAAGGTCATCCAGCAGCTGCAAGTGGAGGAGTGGGGAATCAAACCTGGTTCTGCCAGATTAGAGTCCATGCACTTCACCACTACACCAAACTGGCTCTCTATGTGGAGGTGGCATTCTTTAAAACAGTATGTGTGATTTTTTATATATCAGGTGATTTCCAAATCACAAGTGTTTACTGTAGTCAAGGAACGTATCACCATTAAATTACCTCAGAATGTTACCTGCAATAAAATACTGATTACCAGGGGCCGTTTGGGGCCGGAGCATACTGGAGCACTGCTCTGGCAGCCTGCCCAGGCAGCCCCACCCCTGCGCTCCTTTTTTCTAGAGTCGTGCCGCAGTAGTAGCGCAACTCCACAGAGAAGTCACCGGGAGGCATTTAAATGTCTCCCCGCTCTCTCCGCAGCCCTTCCTGGTTCGCCCGTGAGGCAGGCGAAATTCCCCTTCCCCAGCCGGCCTGCCGAGGCGGAAGGATCTAACAGAAGCAGAGGAGATTAGGAAGAGGTGGCAAGAATACACAGAAGAACTATACAAGAAGGACCTCAATGTCTTTGACAACTACAACGGTGTGATCACTGACCTCAAGCCAAACATCCTGGAGTGTGAAGTTAAATGGGCCTTAGAAAGCATTACTAACAACAAAGCTAGTGGAGGTGATGGCATCCCAGCTGAGCTATTCAAAGTCTTAAAAGATGATGCTGTTATAGTGTTGCACTCAATATGCCAGCAAATTTGGAAAATGCAACAGTGGCCACAGTATTGGAAAAGGTCAGTTTACATTCCAATCCCAAAGAAGGGCAATGCCAAGGAATGTTCAAACTATTGCACAGTTGCACTAATTTTATACGCTAGCAAGGTTATGTTCAAGATCCTACAAGCTAGGCTTCAGCAGTACATGGATAGAGAACTGCTAGAAGTACAAGCTGGGTTTCGAAGAGGTAGAGGAACGAGAGATAAAATTGCCAACATTTGCTGGATTATGGAGAAAGCAAGGGAGTACCAGAAAAACATCTACTTCTGTTTCATTGACTATGCTAAAGCCTTTGATTGTGTGGATCACAACCAATTGCTGAGGGTCAAAGAGGAGAGCAAGTTGGCTTGAAACGCAACATCAAAAAAATTAAGATCATGGCATCCGGCCCCATCACTCCTGGCAAATAGAAGGGGAAGTCATGGAAGCAATGACAGAATTCGAGTTCCTGGGATCGAAAATCACTGCAGACGTTGACTGTAGCCATGAAATTAAAAGATGCCTGCTCCTTGGGAGGAAAGCAATGGCAAACCTAGACAGCATAATAAAAAGTAGAGACCTCACCCTGCCAACAAAAATCCATATGGTCAAAGCAATGATATTCCCAGTAGTAATGTATGGCTGCGAGAGTTGTACCATAAGGAAGGCCAAGCACTGAAGAATAGATGTTTCTGAATTATGGTGCTGGAGAAGACTCTTGAGAGTCCCTTGGACTGCATGGAGATCAAATCAGTCAATCCTAAAAGAAATTGACCCTGACTGTTCACTGGAAGGCCAGATACTGAAGCTGAAGCTCAGATACTTTGGCCACCAAATGAGAAGGGAGCACTCACTGGAGAAGAACCTGATGCTGGGAAAGATTGAAGGTAAAAAAAGAAGGGGACAGCAAAAGATGAGATGGTGAGACAGTGTTATTGATGCAACAAACATTCAATTAAGCAAACTCCGGAGAATGAGAGAAGACAGGAGAGCCTGGCATGATATGGTCCATGGGGTTGCGAAGATTCGGACTCGACTATGCGACTGAACAACAATAACCAATGACCGCAGATCCTAGAAGTCAGATTGGGATCACACAATCATCTGTTGAGAAGTGTTGTTGTTTTAAATGCTGCTGATTTTATTGATTCTAATGAATTATTATAATATGTTTTAATTTGTAAATCTGCATTAATTGCAGATATATAGATCTTCAAGATGGAATCTTGCACCTATTGAATTACTAAGTGCGTGAATTTGCTAACAAAACACAATTGTATTAGTTTTTTATATTTATTAAAAGTGCTCACTTTGCCAGCATGGCCATGCCAGAGACATTTGTGAGAGACATGGAGTATGTGAGTGATCTGAGTGGGGGGGATTGCTGCTAACTGCTGCATTGGGAAAATACAACTTTCCCATGGTCCATATATGTTAAACTGCATGCATGCACAAAATTGATTGTGTATGTGTGTGCAGTTGTGCTAGATGTGCAGCCACTCAGTGAACTCCAGTTAATGGCTTGACAAATCCAAACCAGTGGGAGTTCAGTCATCCTTAGTCTTCACTACCTTATCAGTACAAGATTCAAGTTCAGTAATATCTTAAAGGCTAACAAGACCAGATGCTACTGGACTTGAATCTTGTTCTTCTACTGCAGCCCAACATGGCCACCCACCTGAAACTATCCCATCAGTAACTCACAGGAATTTTAACACCTCCTCAGCAATAAGATTTCCATGAGTTGTGTACTACCAATGGAAACTGTAGGAAGTGGTTATGGCTGTTCTCCCTTACAGGGATTAATTCATGAGGAAATAGTATCACAATGGTGATGTTGCTTGTCCTGTTCCCTTACCTCCATTTCATTCACCCATGCATCATAATGTCTGATATGGTATGCTTATCCAGATTACTGCAATCCTACTCCTAGTACATTGCTTATTAGAAGTCTCTTCATATTGATTGTATTGATTCACACTGTGTACTCTTCTTTGAGTCTCAGTCAGAAAGGCAGACTATAAACAGAGTAAATAAATGAATAAAATGTATTGCCATACTAACTTGATTATAGGTCCTGGCAATGAATGAAGACTATCATTGGTAGGAAGTAGAAAAATTGTAGTGAAGCCAGTACTGTGTTTATACTAAAATAGATATTTAAAACTGAAGTTATCAGAAATATTAATAATACTAGGAATAAGGCCAGTTGTGGAAATAAAGACAACGAACTCTAGAAAGAGGCTCTGGGCAGGTGCCCCAGCCTTGGGCACTCAGTGTCAATTTGCTGTGGTGACCTCAGCAGGGTGTAATGACACAGAGTACACTGTTTTCTCCAGGGGAGCTGATCTCTGCCACCTGAAGAGCAGTTGTAATTCTGAGTGATCTCCAGCCCTCACCTGGAGATTGGCAACAATGGTTTCCCAGGAGGAAATGGCTGGTTTGGAGGGTGGAGTCTATGGCATTGTACCTGTCTGAGGTCCCACCCCTCCTCAAACCCCACCCTCTCCAGGCTCCACCCCTCAAATATCCATGAATTTCCCAACCTGGAGTTGTTAACACTATCTCCTTCCCAACCAACCATCAACCTACCTTTATCTGCCCCTTTATCTGACTTCAGGTTTCTATCTCCTCCCCCTTCCCTGCAGCCTCTACCTAGTAAAAGTACAGTCTTTCTCTGCAGTGGGGATCAAAGCAGCTCACACCATTCTCCTCTCCCCCTTTTGTTCAGCACAACAAACCTGTGAGGTAGGGTAGGCTGAAAGTCTGTGGGTGGTCTGAAGTCACCCACTCAGCTTCCACAGATCTCTTTCTCCCCCTGAAGAAAATAACTTTGGAGGGTGGACTCTATGGCATTCTGTTCAGCTGAGGCTTCTCTCCTCCCCAAACTCTGGCTTCAATAGACTTTACCACAAAATCTCCAGGAATTTCCCAACCTGGAGCTGGCAACCCTAGTCAGGACGGGCCCCAATGAGTTCCCCACAAAGGCCAAAGTAGGCCTGGAAAGGGCTCCATCCCCCACATTTTTACTGACAGGACCAAGCATGGTTGCCTAGCAACAGTCACTGAGGAGAAAGTGAGCCACACAGCAAGAGATGAGAATGGCTTGATGGCCACTGGCCCACCTCAGTAGCCAGCCAGCCACAGTGGAACCAAGTAGCAGTAGAAGCATCTTCATCAGGAGAATCAGCCATTTTGGTAGTTTATTCAGACAGGGAAGTGGCCAAGCCAGCAGTGAATGGGGGAGAGGAATGGACCCAGCATCCAGCCAATGGCATGTGAGTATTCTTGAGTGGTGGTTGATGGGCCAATGGCTGATGGAGTGCACAGCACAGCCAATGGGAGAGCCAGAAAGTGCCAGTTGTTGTTGTTCAGTCGCACAGTCGAGTCCGACTCTTCGCGACCCCATGGACCAGCTCCCGCCAGTACGTTGGGCTTATATATGCAAGATGCTTTTCCTCCCTGGAACTAAAAGGAAGGATACATAATGCAGTGATAGAAAGGTTCCATGCCACCCCAGTATTGATACTGACTGGATACTTCACAGACATATGGAACTTACAGTGTGGTCAGTGCACAGAGGAGGCATTTGGCAGAGTTATTCTACTGTTTGGATGGATGCCAGAATTGTGATAGCCATAATTAAGGTGACCAGACATTCTGGAATAGTTTGGTTGAAAAGCATCATTCTAAACCACTACTGGCATATGAATACTCATTCAAACCCTTTTCCCCCCCATTGCACATTTGTAATGTTTGGCTGTTTTCTCACTGGCTTTCCCTTTCCCCCTCTTTAGGCATACTGGAAAAAAATGAACCAGCTTCTACAAACCCTGAACCAGAAGCTTGCCACTCTAAACCATGGAAAAGAAGGGATAGTCAAGATCAATGCAGCTGTCTCAGACAAGGTGGTTGCATTTAAAAGTAAACCTCCATCCATTCAAAGAGAAATGTTGAGTGTCTGCAGTGATCCCTATACCTTGGCCCAGCAACTGACACATGTGGAACTAGTAAGTGGAAAACAAGACTTGTACTTTGCACTCAGTTGTAATGACGTAAAACATATTTTTTTCCGAAATTGCCAGTGAGATATTTTTTAAATGTTGCAAACATCATTGAACAAAATGTACCCAGGGCTGCAGTCACATTGGATGCTTGGCATGAACTGGTGGCGCCTCTATTTGCAGCAGTTTAAATCAACATGGGAAGGGGTGACCAGACAGCATACTCTGAAGTAGCCTCACTGTGCGCTCACCCCATGGTCAACTGTTCAGTTTATTGCTACAGGGCAACCATGGAGTGGGTGATCGGGTGGCTTCTTTTTTAAAAAAAAATAATTGTCTTTTGCATATGTGCATAACCGCTTATTAGAAACACTGCTCCATTTTGACAGCTAGAGGAGGCTGCCTCCCCCCTCCGAAAAAACTCATATTTTCAATTAACCCCTTCCCCACCCTGTGTGTTGCAAAGCTGTGGGCAGAGGAACTGGCATGAAAAAAGAAAAAGGAGACTTTTCAGCCTGCCCTTCCCCCACCCTTCTCACCAGAGGACAGCTGAATCTCAGAAGCTAAGCAGGGTCAGCCCTGGCTAGTATTTGGATGGGACTGGGAGACCTCCAAGGAATACCAGAGTTGTGACATGTAGGCAGGCAATGGCAAACAACCTCTGAATGTCTCTGGCCTAGAAAACTCTACGGGGTCACCATACGTTAGCTGTGACCTGGCGGCACTTTCCATCACCATACATCCCTTAGGTTTAGGCATTTGATCAGATAAAAATACGTTGTCAGTATAAAATAATTTAAAGTTGAACTGTAACAAAGAGGAGGCTAAAGCTAACCACAAAAATGGTGAACCCATAAGTGACAGCTGGCCTGTCAGTTGATGCTGATGTATCCCATATATCTCTGTTTTGGGACATATACATTCAGGTAGCAGTCTTCAGAAAGCTTAGTTATTCTGCCAGAGATCCTATTTTACTTCATTGGCACTGATCTGAAATAAACATTTCATCAATTGAACATGGTTTGAAATTTCCATTCTCATTTTCTGATCACAATTACTGTGGCAACTCTACATATTGTTATCAGAGGTCCATTCTTATTAGGTTTCCATGAAGTCGCAAGTCATCATAGGTTATTTTTACCATGGTAATTAGGCCCTGTCCACACGAGAGGATTAGAGCCGGGAGAGGGATGGAACGGGGGCGGAGCAAACGGGCGCAATCCCACCGCAACATCTGGGAAGCGTACCGTGTCCGTCCCCGATCCGGCCCTTCCAGCGATGATCCGCACCAAAAAAGAACCACCTACCGAGGTGGTTCTTTTCTAACGGCCGCAGCAACGCTGGCCGTGGGATCGCCGCACGTTCTTTCGCCGGCGCATCCCCGGCTCCTTGCCGAACTGCGCATGCTCCAACATGCGCAGTTCAGCAGACTCCCGTGCCTTTCTCCCCGTCTCCCCGGCATCTGATCGTGCCGGGGAGCAAATGCACAGCGGCTCAGGGGATCTGTATGATCCCGCCGCCGCGTGCCTATTTAGGTGCGGCTTTTTAAAAGCCGCACTTTGGCCGTCCCTTCTTCCCTCGTGTGGCAGGGGCCTTAGATGTCCTGATCTGATTCTGGGATGTCTTCTCTCCTTCTGTAATATTAACTGTGATGGAGATGACATTGGTAAGAGCTAATCAATTGGCCAGTGGTTTCATAAAGACCATTTAAAATCTGTGTTTGAATCTGAATTATGATATTTTGAACATTATGAACTCAGTAACAGTTGTACTCTCCGGGTGTTCTGTTTATACCTTCTTTCTTACTTTTTCTCTTGCAAAAGGAAAGGCTGAGTCACATTGGCCCTGAAGAATTTGTTCAGGCATTTGTCCATAAGGATCCTTTGGAAAGCACAAAGGTATGAATTGAAATATGATCTTGTTACATTACATGTTCTAGATGAGCATGCTAAGAATGGACTGTATACAAGTCAGTGACACACAATGGACATTCTTCCACTGATAACATTTAATTACAGACTTACTAAAGCATCTGTTTTAGAGCTGCATAAAGCTACAGTATATTTGTTGGGTGTCAAGGAAATGATAGTATTATGATAATCACCCCACAGAACCAGCTTTTACCTGATGTTCTTTTTGGATGTGAGATGCCCCCAACATATGCTTTTGAGTGCAAAATTATATATCTGCAAGCAATGGAATAAACCAAGAAATACAGCTTTCACTGGTAGCTAGAGAGTGCATATTTTAATATTCTATGCTGCTATTCCAGAAGGGGAATATTAGCTTCCTCTTTTGAGAAGTTCATGCAGCCTCTGTGTTAAGTTGCAAGCTTGTTAACATCAAGGAGGATGTGTCCATTAGCATCTGTGGGAGTGAAAATGGTTGGGAGGGATGGGAGAAACCATTGCTTCATGTAGTGGCAGCACACAGATAATTCTTCAAAAGAAAATTTGAGTATTGAAAAATCTTGTGGCTCATAATAGCATAGCAATCAAAGTGCACAGGCAAAAAAGCAAAGCATTCTTTGAAGCAAACAGATATTCCTCAAACTGTTGCACCTGTACAGCTAGTGCACTGCATTTGAAATGATTGAAAGAAGACTTGTTAATGCAACATTGTTGCCATAACTTTAAGTGGCTGGGAAATTGTATTTACTTCCCACATAGTAAAAAAGAAGCTCTGAATACCTGGGAAACTGGTGTTTCTTTTTGTGAAAAATTCTTGAACTAAAAAACAAACCAGCTGCTAAACATATTAAACTTGCCAACCAGTCTCTAATGGGATTTAAAACAGAAACAAGGGAATATATTGGTTCAGTCTATAGTTGAATTAGGGTGCTTGCTAGCTGCCTTATTTGTTGGCAGCTGTGGAAAATAACCCCTCCCCCCCAAGCCGCTGTTGGGTTATCTTTGTAGATTACAGATGCCAACTACTTGGAGGGGAAAAAATCTCCTGTCCCTTTAATAGAGGCTTAATTACCTACCTACCTCCATGAAAAACCACCTACCTCTAATGAATGACCATTTTGTTTAAATCTGAGCACTTATTTGTAATATTCGTTGGTTTTTAATGTTTTTATCCTGGTTTTATGTATGGGCATATTTTGCCCTCTTGTAAGCCGCCCTGAGCCCATTCATGGGGAGGGCGGGGTATAAATACAAAAATAAATAAATACATTAATTAATTAATGTCATTTCCCTCCATGCCATGTGAAGTTTCAGCCGCCCATTTTGACACGTTAAGCATTTATTAGGGCCTTTTTCCCCTGGGTCTGTTGGCAACCCTAATTGTATACTAGTAGGTCTGCTCATATGCAACCCAGACATTGGTGCTATGCCTTTAAATTCCTGGGTACTTTCCTGCCCCTTCTCTGTGTTTGTAAAGCATTACCTGGACCATTTCCACATAGGTTATTTGCGTGGGGGTCAATGCTGTTGGGAAAGCAGCTGCCCCCACTCCACCCCTGCTTCCAGACAGCATTGGGATGCGTTTGTGCATCTCCCAGTTTCCTTGGCTTTTCTCTGATCTTTCTCAAACCTGCTTTGCTCTGAACTTTTGGGAAAACATTGCAGTAAAGCCTAGATGGCTGCTGTATGGGTGGGAAAATTCAGTTTTAAGACAATATTCCCTTGTCCTTCCTGCATGGCAAATGAAAAAAGGAAAAAGAACTGTGACAATTTAGCGCTTGGTAATATAGTCATAAATCATAATATACAATAACAGAAAATAAGTAATATATATAGTGAATGTAGATGGTGGTCTCCGGAATGGTGTGCCGTTTCGACAATGATCTTCTTCTGAACAAGGATGTGTACCTTATCAAATATAACAATAGAAGTCTCATTAAAATATATATATATAACAGTGTGCAAATATATAAATAAGAATAAAAGTAGTATGAAACCTTACATAAACTGTCTTTCAACAATTCATTTCTCTTGGTGACGTATTGTAAATATACTGTTGATTCTAAAAAGTACAACAATAGCTGTTACAATACATTTTCATTGTTATTCAATAATAATTACATTGCTCCACATACATAAATATTAATATTTTAAATAATTGTAAAAACACTCACCACTTCATCATAAAGCTATACTTACAGCTATGTTCTTCAATGGGCTATAATTACTGAATGCCTTAACAGGTGGATTCTATGTAGGCATTATATCCTGCTGGTCTGTTTTTTCACACTGATCCTGTTACTACTCATACACAAGTACACAAATCACCAACTCCTATGACAATTATCCATGCATATAGGTAAAATAAAATACACTAACCATTTATAAGTGTTCATAAGTAACATGTCAAATCCAGGGATGCATTGAAACCAAATGGATAAACAGTGTTTAATTTAAAAATCCAAAAGGCTTCTCGCCGCAAGAGTGTTTGTCTAATATCTCTTCTACAGTAATTGCTGGTCTGGATCACTTCTATAACTACAAATTTAAAATCGTCATATCTATGACCCATTGAAATGAAATGGTCCATGAGGGGGGCTTCTGTATGTGTTTAATTTTGGACTTATGTTCCAAAATTCAGGTCTTAATTTCCCGTGTCAATTCTCCAATGTATTTTAGCCCACAGGGGCAGGTGATTATATAAATGACCCGCTTCGTGGAACATGAAGAGTAACTGTTCAATTCTCTCCTATAGTTAATTTCTTGGAAAGTAGACAAATTTCGTTTCCTCACTCAACGGACATGCTGCACATCGCAAACACTTATAGTGACCTCTGGGTGTGTTCTCTGATGGTATATTGGATCATAAGTCTGCGTGTACCAAAAGATCTCTAATGCTTGCAGTTTTTCAAAAGCCTATGTTAGGTGTTACTTGGCATTCTGGTATGTCTCCCACAATGTGCCAATGTTTTAAAACAATCCTCCTGATGGAGTATGCCATAGGGGTGTAATCTAATGCCCATAGGAAACCTTCCCTGGATCGGGTGACTGTCTCTTTAAATAAATCTGCTCTTGCTCTCTTGTCAGCTCTGCAGCGCCCCACGGCTACAACCTGCGTGGGATAGCCTCTTTGTAAAAAATCTCTTTCCAATCCATTTGCCGCTATGTAATCACCCTAGGACTGAGAATCCAATCATTCCTTATACTAACCTCCTTGAAAGAATCAAGTGTCTTCTTACTGTGCAAAGGAATAGACCAAATTTAAATTCTAGATGGCCATCTAAAAGATAGATTGACGACGAATGTAGATCTGCCAAAAAAGCATGCATTGTTGTCTTTTACGCTTATAGACATTCATCAGCATCCGAAAATCAAGTCCTATTGAAAGATTATACTGATACAAAGAAACTATATAAAGCAATTGTTGGAAAAATCAAGTCCTATTGAAAGATTATACTTTATACTATATAAAGCAATTGTTGCAAGAAAAAGGAAAAATGATTTAAGGCTTACCTGGGAGAAACTAATCCAAACAGCAAATGAAAAAAACTCCAAGGCCTTTTGGGAAACGATCTATAAATATTACCGTAAAGTTCGTTCTCCATTATATATGGTAATATCAGCAAATACTTGGGAGTCTTTTTTTTACAAGATTTACTCGGACAATTTATTAGTTCAACAACCACAACCTATCTCTGATTTACCTGAATAGCCACCAGTTACATCTAAAGAAGTAGCAGCACTTATCAAGCAACTTAAAAAAGGGAAGGCTCCTGGTACTGATACTATACCAGCTGACTTTTTGATTAATAATGTAGATCGGTGGGCACCACCTTTAGCCTCCCTATTTACCTACATTGACACTAAGGGACACATACCAGAAGACTGGAGGCAAGCAATAATCATACCCTTCTATAAGAGAGGAGAGAGAGAGATGACCCTGGTAATTATCATCCCATCAGCGTAATTGGTAAGCTGTATGCTAGTCATCTTCTAGACAAACTGACAACCTGGGTCTTACAAGAAGAGATCCTTGTTATGGAACAAGCTGGCTTCAGAGAAGGCATGTCTACAATGAGCCACTGTATTATATTATACCATCTATTAGAGAAATAAAAATCAAAAGGACCAGTCTCACTATACGCTGTCTTCCTGGACTTAAGATCTGCATTTGATACCATATCCAGAGAACTACTATGGAACAAGTTGAAAGCTATGGATATTGACACCAGACTTCTCTTCTTAATTCAAACTCTCTATACTAATACCTCTTTGAAAGTTAGATGTAACCAAGCCGGTCACCTCTCCAACACAATTCAGACAGCAAAAGGGGTCAAACAGGGCTGTGTCCTGGCTCCAACTCTATTCAATCTCTGTGTTAATGATCTGATTGAACATCTAAGTTCCACAGATCTTCATCTACCTCATCTAGCTGACAGGTATATCCCAGATCTTCTATTTGCTAATGATACAGTATTGTTGTCCAGGACTCCAGTGGGCCTGAAGAGGGCTCTAAGGACTTTTGGTCTCTACTGTGCTACCAATAGTCTCATGATTAATTTTGACAAATCCAAGATTATTTCTTTTGGCACCAACAGGAAAATTAGGTCATAGAAACTAGAGGGCCATATAATACAGCAAGTGCCCTGCACTAAGTATCTAGGGGTAATGATCCACACTTCTGGAAAGAGTACTGCACATCATGATTATGCAGCTGCAGTAGGACAAAAATCTACTCAGGGTATTCTTAATTTTTTTTAACACTAATGGTGGCCATTTTTTTCCTGCAGCCCTTTGTTTATATTAGGCAAAAGTTCTGCCACAATTGCTCTATGGCTCTATGCTAGGCCCTCCAGTGACTAATTACACTTCCCTGGAAAAAGTTCAATCAGAATTCCTAAGATCCATCTTCCAAGTACCCAAATGTGTGACCAATGCAGGTTTATGTCTAGAATCGGGCATGGTTAAAGTTGAAGCCAAGCTGAAAC